GAGAGTGTGTGTGTGAGTGTGTGTGTGTGAGAGAGAGTGTGTGTGTGTGTGTGTGAGAGAGTGTGTGTGTGTGTGTGTAACGGTCGCTCGGCAGCAGGATGTGTGTGTGTGTGTGTGACGGTCGCTCGGCAGCAGGATGAAGCTCCTCGCGCGCGTCTCGCGGCTCATTTTGCGCTCGTGATTCCGGCTGAAGCAGAAGAAGGAACGACACTGACGCGGCGGGGCTGCTGTCATCATCATCTTCATCACCTCCATCATCTTCCTCATCATCGTCCATCTGGCTGTGGTTGAGCGCCGGTCGCGGATTCTCTCTCTACGTCGGACTCTGATCAATCCGGGTCGGTTCAGTTTGATTCGGTGTCGGTGTGAACGCGTGTGTGATGTAATCCCGCGGCTCTGACGTCATGTTCGTGTCGGTTTGGTACGCGAAGAAGATGGGCCGAAGATTCATCAGCAACGTGCGCAAAGCCAAGAGACACAGACAGAGAGTGACGGTGAGACAGCTCTGTGTGTGTGTGTGTGAGAGAGAGAGAGACAGCTGTGAGTGTGTGTGTGTGTTTGTGTGTGAGAGAGAGAGAGACAGCTGTGAGTGAGTGAGTGAGTGTGTGTGTGTGTGTGTTTGTGTGACAGCTGTGAGTGTGTGTGTGTATGTGTGTGTGTGAGAGACACAGCTGTGAGTGTGTGTGTGTGTGTGAGAGAGAGACAGCTGTGAGTGAGTGTGTGTGTGTGTGTGTTTGTGTGACAGCTGTGAGTGTGTGTGTGTGAGAGAGAGAGAGAGACAGCTGTGAGTGTGTGTGTGTGAGAGAGAGAGAGAGACAGCTGTGAGTGTGTGTGTGTGAGAGAGAGAGAGAGACAGCTGTGAGTGTGTGTGTGTGAGAGAGAGAGAGAGACAGCTGTGAGTGTGTGTGTGTGAGAGAGAGAGAGAGACAGCTGTGAGTGTGTGTGTGTGAGAGAGAGAGAGAGACAGCTGTGAGTGTGTGTGTGTGAGAGAGAGAGAGAGACAGCTGTGAGTGTGTGTGTGTGAGAGAGAGAGAGAGACAGCTGTGAGTGTGTGTGTGTGAGAGAGAGAGAGAGACAGCTGTGAGTGTGTGTGTGTGAGAGAGAGAGAGAGACAGCTGTGAGTGTGTGTGTGTGAGAGAGAGAGAGAGACAGCTGTGAGTGTGTGTGTGTGAGAGAGAGAGAGAGACAGCTGTGAGTGTGTGTGTGTGAGAGAGAGAGAGAGACAGCTGTGAGTGTGTGTGTGTGAGAGAGAGAGAGAGACAGCTGTGAGTGTGTGTGTGTGAGAGAGAGAGAGAGACAGCTGTGAGTGTGTGTGTGTGAGAGAGAGAGAGAGACAGCTGTGAGTGTGTGTGTGTGAGAGAGAGAGAGAGACAGCTGTGAGTGTGTGTGTGTGAGAGAGAGAGAGAGACAGCTGTGAGTGTGTGTGTGTGAGAGAGAGAGAGAGACAGCTGTGAGTGTGTGTGTGTGAGAGAGAGAGAGAGACAGCTGTGAGTGTGTGTGTGTGAGAGAGAGAGAGAGACAGCTGTGAGTGTGTGTGTGTGAGAGAGAGAGAGAGACAGCTGTGAGTGTGTGTGTGTGAGAGAGAGAGAGAGACAGCTGTGAGTGTGTGTGTGTGAGAGAGAGAGAGAGACAGCTGTGAGTGTGTGTGTGTGAGAGAGAGAGAGAGACAGCTGTGAGTGTGTGTGTGTGAGAGAGAGAGAGAGACAGCTGTGAGTGTGTGTGTGTGAGAGAGAGAGAGAGACAGCTGTGAGTGTGTGTGTGTGAGAGAGAGAGAGAGACAGCTGTGAGTGTGTGTGTGTGAGAGAGAGAGAGAGACAGCTGTGAGTGTGTGTGTGTGAGAGAGAGAGAGAGACAGCTGTGAGTGTGTGTGTGTGAGAGAGAGAGAGAGACAGCTGTGAGTGTGTGTGTGAGAGAGAGACAGCTGTGAGTGTGTGTGTGTGAGAGAGAGAGACACAGCTGTGAGTGTGTGTGCTTTGAGTGATTGTGTGTGTGTGTGTATATCAAGTGATTCCCTGGTAAGAGTTACTGTGATATTACCGTGGTACAGTGAGGATAATATCACGCCACTGTTTGATTATTATGATTTTTCATGGCACTGAAAGGAATACCATGGTACCACCATCATGTTAGTGTTCATTCCAAACAGAAAGCACCATAGTAACCAATTTATGTCAAAATATCACTGTTACGTGAAAAAGATGAGAATGAGAGGTTGAGAAGCTTCTGTGAGTGTTTGCTGGTTGTGATTGTTGTGTGTTTTTATGGCAAGACCGTGTTTTTTTTTCGGTGTATTTGTGTATCTTGTTGCCAGATTTCTGCTGAGCACTGCTTCGTCTCCATGGTGACCAGAGTGATGGTGAGATGCAGTCTGTGCACAGTGTCATGGCAACTGCACTGCATGATCACTGTGATGTCATGCAGGAGTGTGTGTGTGTGTGTGTGTGTGTGTGTGTGTGAGATGTTAGTAAACTACAGAGTTTAGTTAAACTTACGGGCGATTCTGCTACTGGTTAAGATGGTTATTAGTGCAGTCTGTCCAGTGTCGGCATGCTAAACCAGCTTGACCGTTTGAGCTGATCATCAGTGCTGGTCACCAGCTGAACCGGTTAGCTGGTTTAGACGGGTTCTTTCAGCAGGGTTTGTGTAGCTGATGAATCGCACGTCCAGTAACAGGATCTCAAGGTTAAACACGAGTGTTTTACACACCGTCACTGTGACATTGACTTTTTCACCATTTTCACCATCTTTTATTGGAAAGTATGAAAAATAAAAACTGATTCAAAATATTAATAGTTTAACTTGAAGTACTAAGATAAGTAAAATTAAAATGAACTTAAAAATTAATAAATACTATATAGGTATATTTAAAAAAACTATTAAAATAATAAAACACAACAAAATTACTCAAACCTTTAACTAAGATTAAAGCGAAAATAGAAAAGAAAAAGAAATGATAGCATTCAAAATATAAATATTTTAAACTTCTTGTACTAAAATAACTAAAAGTGAAATAAAAGCATTAAAAAAAAATTGGCATTTAAAAAAACTATAAAAATGACAAAAACAGAACACATTTGCTAAAAGTTTAACTAAAATAAAACTGATGCCAAAATAATATGTCATGCCATCTTAACTGCACATGAAGATGCATCTGAGAAACAGAAGAGTTCAGAAAATGAGCGTCTGGATATTTATATCTGATGCTTATTAATAAAGATGCAGTCTAATTCCAGACTCATGAATATTAAACAGATGCAAATTCCACTGAAGTGTGTGTGTGTTTAGATAAAAGTCACTCAGTCACTCAGTTCTAGAAGTCATCAGACCGCACGGGAACAAACACGTGTGTGTGTGTGTGTGTGTGTGTGTGTGTGTGTGTGTGTAATCTCTTGCTTATGGACATTTGGCCCGTGATGAGGCTGAGAGGCTGACAC